TGCATAAATGCAGTGTGTAAATATTTGCCGTAGTTAGGGGGGGCAGAGAGGGATCCAGACTTAATATTACAAGGTAACTGACCCAACCTTAAAACCACCCTTGCTAGAGATTAAAAAAGGGTTGGTCCACCACTTGTTTCAGACTGAAATATTTCAACCACTATAAGAAAAAGTGCTATACAATTTCGTACAAGTCATGATTGTACACTCCCCGTCCAAAAACAAAGTCACCACCTGGATTTAACTAAGCAGTTCGGTAAGAGCCTTCCATTGGATAATTGCTACAGTGATTGTTACGTATATAATCGTAAAAAATGGCAATCCATCCAATGTTTGTTTTCGGACAAACAAACCAAAAGACCTTGCCCTCCCTGGAGTCAATCTATTTTAGGCTTTGGTTGAGATTATTAACTATTTTCAGACTATGTTTATTTTTTGTTGCAAAAAATAAATTTGTGTCAGAGTGATACATTCCTTCAGTCTCCTTTGCTGGCTTCCAGAAAACTCATTCCTGTGCTGCTGTGATGTGGCAGAGTTGGAGGGCTGAGCTGTGGGGGGGGGCTGACGTCTTTAAAGCTGTAGTGCCACACACACACACGCTGAGCTCAGGTAAACCTCAGAAACTAGATTCTCTTTGAAAAGGGAGATGAATCTGGTCTGATGTGTTTGGAGAGCTCTGTCTCCTGGATAGACTCACACACTAAGGGGAGATGCTGTTCATATTTTAGGTAAGAAAAGAGGATATTTTGAAATCTAAAACCGCTGGTGCTTTGAAAAGCAGCATGTTTGCAAGGGGTTGTTTCATCTACACTGCTGCAGACACCTGACCTTTACAGGAGCATTTCTTATTTCTCGTACTCGCTGTGCTGCAGTTTCAGATGTATTGAGATGAAAGCAGATGCCTTCAGGCTCGGTCCACTCAGCAGTGAAGTCAATCTTTTGCATCTTCAAGGGGTAATGGGCTAGTTTTCATGGCAACAAGTCTGACCACCCCCCAACTAAGACGGAGGCAAAGGTCGACTCCGAGTTAGACTTCTCAGAGTTGCACTTCCTTGATTGAAGCATCGCTCCCCAGTTGTTTCAGTTTATATGCAATGCAGATGACCTATGAGAGAGAAGTTGTTTCATCAATTAAGATATGAAGATATTTAATAACTCACCATATAATTGGTCTTATAAAACTCACCTGGCTGTGTCCCTGCACAGCTTTAGTTTCTCTTATATTTCTATCTTTGACGAAAGCAAGTCTCACACAGCTGGAGAAAAAGTAAAAGCTAACAACCTGTCAGCTTTAATGAGAAGATGCCAGAAGAGTGTGTTTCCAGGAGCAGCAGTTCCTGCCCAGAATCACACTTCTGAGAAAGGGAGTTTGTCCTATTTTTACTGTAAGGGAAGTGGCTTAAAGAGGCCCTATTGTGCTTTTTGTGTTTTCCCTTTCGTATCGTGTGTTATGAAGTTTTTTGTGCATGTAAATGATCTGCAAAGGCTAAAATCCTCAAATTCTCTCCCCCACCTGCCTGAAACACCTTGATTGTAGTCCTTTATGTTTACCGTTACATAGTGGCATCACTGCGTAACACTCGCGCTCTATTGGCTTGCACACCAACATATTATAAGTGATAGACTAATGGGCGGGACATCTCTAAGCGTTTGACCAATGACAACAGAGCCGGCCAGCTAACCAATCAGAGCAGACCGGGCTCTCGTTTTGAGAAGAATATAGCACTTTTTGAACATTAAAGCATGTAAACATGTCACAGTAGAGGCACGGAAAACAAATATGAACCTGGAAATTAGCATAATAGGGCCTCTTTAATTATTCAAATAAGGGCCTAAAGATAGTTGATCTGATCATAACTACAATGAGTTTCTAAGCAGTTTTCCAAACGGTACAACATGTATCTCTTACATGTCTGTTCTCTTAGCCTTAACACTAACCATTTAAAATACCTTCACAACTTGCTCGGGTTCGAGTGTAATCCTCCAGCCTGGGTGCAGATTCACAGGCGAGGTGTTTGACAGAGTTAATAACAACCCGTGGAGACAGAACCAGGCTGTGGAGGGTGGACCCCCTGCAATCTCCCACCATAAATGTAGTGCACGATCTGCCGACGGGGACTTCATTTTTAGCCATATATGTATATAATATGGGACATAAGTTTATGTTTTTTTATAATCTCTTAATGTGGCCACCGGTGGAAGCCAAGCACATAATCAAGACAAATTCCTGAGGCCGCTTTCGGATTTGATTGGTAATTTTTGGGTCTGTGTTAAGAAAGTCTGCTCTCCTAAACACAGCGTGGGACCGTTTCCAGTCAGACGGTTGCTCGAGCTGTTGTCTTTAATTACGGTCAGGTTTTTAAAAATAGAAACTGTGACTGTGATTCTGTGGTCTTTTTTTCTGTTTCTGTTTCAGGATTGGTAAGATAAAGATCACTGCAGGGAAAATAAAAAAAGGGGCTTCATGTAACATTTTGGCACATAGTAGCAAAATGTCAGTAAACAAACTAAAAATGGCACAGCATGTATACAGGACATATGTTTTCACTCTGATGGCAGTGGTTCATTCACTTAAAGGGCTGCTGCAAACATTTTTTCAATATCTTTTCATCTACTCATGCCCAAGCTGACCCAGTATTTCTACACAGTGGCAGTTAAAGGTTAGGCTACATTTATATTAATATGTCACAAAGCATTAGTATTCATTTAGTATTATACTATTTGTAGAGTAAGATTCTTGTGGTGGCTGCACAGCATTATTTCCAACTCGTTTTATCCAGTCTCTTCCAATAACGTTAGATTCTAAAAGATAATATGTATTGAAAAAATACAAAAAATTACAGCTTGTTTACATCCAACAAAATATTCTGCTTTGTTGTCCTTGAGCTTTTAAAAACCAACATTTGTATTGCGGTCATAAACTGTAAGCTTCCCACACACAAAAGGAGGAACTAGCATGAATCTATCAGTCCCATAAATGACATATAACCACAATAACAACAACATATATATATATTTATTTTTTGCTATGTCATGAAGGACTTCATGAAAAGACATTCAGCTCCTGCCTCAGAAGCACAGATGCTTTTAGTTTGATCTATTTTTGGACTCTTTCTATCAAGAAATTAAGACCTGTTATCAATGATTTATATTATAGGATGGAACATTTCTCCTTTCATATTCACTGCGGGCTATTCTGAGGACAATTTCTGTAGACTTACTGGAGACCTGAAAGTAGAACAGTTACAAATGCAATTAGTCGGAAGTTCAGATTTTGCCAAGGTGTTTCCTTGAAGCTCTACCCTGTTAGATTCCACTACACACTATTAATCCATACAAGTTAACCAAGTGCAAAGCCACATTGATTTCTGCTTCTCAACCCATGCATCAGTGCCACTTGTGAAATCACACACACCCATGTAAGTGACCACCTTAAATGGAAACGAATGGACTAATACCTTGTAAGATAATGAGAGCACCTCCTGGCTGTTTGCTTGGTCGTTCCATATAGGGACATTTGCCTAAGAACACACGTTCCACATGCATGTGTGTGTGCCGTGAGGTCAGAGAGAGTGTATTTAAGAAACTGTAAACACTGCCAGTCTGTGTCTGTCGCTCCATTAAATCACTCCGCTCTATCTAAACACTGAGGATGTACCATCTGCGTCCAGCTGTTCCGATAAAGCCTCTCCGGAGCTGATCATCAGCTGGATCATTAGCTCGATAATCAACTCAACTCTCTGACACTCTTTAATATTTAGCCCGCAGCTGTTTAGCATACGCATATTTACAGTAATGAATACAAACAGTATGCCCTGTGTATGAGTGGGGATTAGATATTGAAGGAATGATCTCTCAGGGTAATGGACACACTTAGCTTGTTTTTTGTAAACCACAGCCCACCCTTAGGCCTTAAATTATAATTAGTTTTCTTAGCTGTTATGAGTTTGAATAAGGCAACCAAGGCTGTGAAAGTTTCGATTATTATTTACAGCCTTGAAGCACAGAATAAATAAGGAAGTCTTGGCCCCTGTGTCGCACATTTAACTACTTGTTCTCCAGTGGTTGCAACATTTCCTAAACAGCTACATTCCCACCCACAGTACTATGAGTTTAAAGATTCTAAATAACTTTGAATGTCCTCTATTGCATGAATTGGAATGTCCTAAATGTAGTTGTTGGTATCACAACAAAGAAGAATATTTTTACATTTCAAAAGTCTGGTATAAAGAAAGGTTACGGTTGTGCCATACTGTCATCTGCCATACCATCATTGGTGCCTGATGATATTCTATTCTGTAAGACTGCAACTAACACATCTTTTTGCATTAGAGATGAATCTGCTGATTATTTTATGAATAATCAATTATTAGTTTGGTCTATCACATGTCAGGAAACACCAGAAATCCCAGTGTGTCCAAGGTTGAATTTCTTTCTTTTGTCCGTCCAATATCAAAAAGATGTTCCCCTTACTATGATAGATAACAGAGAAAAGCAAGACATCTCCATATTTGATGGGCTAAAAATAAGCATTTCTGCAATTCATTCAAAGTAATCAAGATTATCAGAATTCTTGTGGATTATTTATTTTTTTAGCTGAATATCATTGCAGCTTTATGATTGTGATAAATATTGAACATGAACAGTGTTTTGTAGTTAAAGTGAGTTCTCTGATGAAGTCTACAAGACGTTGTCAGCATGTTTTTTTGACATGGCCAGAGTAAATTGGTGTCTTTACCATCTGCCAACTTGGTCCTAAAGTTCTATTTGTGTGATCACTTTTTCCTTTGGGTTGGAACTCAGGCTTAACACCACAGACACATACCCAGAGCGGTATCTTCTTTAAGACACAACTACAGTTTGGAGTTGAGGTGTTCTTGGTTTGAGGCCAAAAGGGGACATGTGCTTTGCCATTCACCATCACTCTTCCTTCTTTTACCTACACATCCATACTGTCCTGTCAATGTTGCTTACTCTCCCTCTCTCTGTGTGTCCTTCAGCTCTAGGTACTAGCCCAGCGGGCAAACAGAGCAACACACCCAGTGTTCAGGCGTGCCTGAGTCGGGCGGGGGGGGGAACACCTGACCGGAGCAGGAGAGGAGTCAATGGAAGAAGCACCAGCTTCAGGCCTCGGCTGTCGTCTAAACCACAAGGTACACACGACTCCCCACAGCAGTTTAACCACAGAGTGGGAGGGTCAGAGGACACACACCATCTATGATTCACATGTGAAATTGTTGACACCCACACAATGATGGTTCCATCTCCTGTGACCTTCTCCTGCTTTGATGTTGTCCATAAGTATAGCCATGCTTTCAGTATCTGACTCCACATGTGCTCAGGGAAATGGTGAAAACAGGAATAGAGTTATGTAAGCTTGGAATGAGTGAACCCTGAGCCTCGTTCCTCTTTTATTTGATGCCAGTAAATCATTCTTCACAGATAACACAGGAGACACAGCTTCATTCGTTGTGCTGCTGTAAATCATGCAGGGAAATTCCTAACACATTACAAAAGTAAAACTGCTGTGTTATTCTACACTGAGCCGGGTCGCTTGTTTACTACATGTAATATAGCTCAGCGTGTGGTGTACGATGGGGTAGCTTATATCGCCCCCTTCAGTTCTTAAAGGGCATTGCAGATACCTTTTAATTTACTCATAAGGAAACATGTATCTTCTACCAGCATCTTAAATAGAACCTAATTACAAACTTTTCCTTTTTCTTCTCCGCAGTGCCTCCAAAGCCAGCACATCTCCAGAGCCCGGTGACGGGGCTCACATCGCCACTAGGCCGCGTACAGAGACCACCACTAAAACAGAGGATGGATGAGGGAGGAGGAGGAGGAGGAGGGAGAGGGGCTGTAAAACACTCCAAGGTGTCAGACCTCATCAGCCGCTTTGAGGAGAACAAGTAAGGAATCTTTACTACTTACTACGACTGTGTTTGTGTCTGTGGTTTTCACTGAAAACGCAAACAATATGAAATGGGATTGGAGGATTTGTGTCAGGAATTGCTTAATTTGTCAGATCTGTCATATTCAGTGAAAGTGCCTCTTCAATGATTTCACCAAGCGTGTGACCGGCTTCTCATTTCTTTTTTGGAGGGGTTCCTGTTGTATAACTCCATCTACGTCACTTACTAGACATTGTGACGAAATCAACCTCATTCAGGCTGTCGTCATTCAGGCTGTCGTCATCCCAGCTGACGGAAAACTCTGTCTTTCCTAACATTTCCTGATGCCGGTTATTTCAAGGATGAAAAGCAGAAGTGCCTCGATTAAAGTGTTCAGCCTGACTCACTGATAGCAGCGAGTAGACAGAACAAGCTGAGATTAGCCCGAGATCCACAAGCCAAGCAAAGGGGATGAAAGGAGATTTGTACAGGCGGGGGGAAACAGCGCTGCTCATTCAGTTGTGGGACAGGTTGTGTCTGGAGATGAAGCCCCGGAGAACAAGGTAGGAGGTCTCGACTCATGGTATGGTTTTATGGGGATTAAAGTGTTCTGTTGGTGGTGCTTGTTTTGTAAAGCAGTGCTACAGGTTATGATTGTAGCAACAGACTTGTATATTCAAGATATTTTTGTGAAAGCAGTTAGCAAAAATAAGACCCCCTGTCCAAATTCCTCTTACAGTAGAGCCTAACAATAGTCAGTAGCATGCCCACTCAGACTCATAATGACTCATTTCAGGCCTGGATCCCTAAAAATAAATGTTTCCGAATCCCAGAATTTCTCCACACCTTCCATCCTTTTTTTCCCAGTTTTGAGGTGAGGTGAATCAGTGCAATCGGGTGTATCTTTTTTTATTCCGACTCTGCGGGGGCTGTGGGGATTACCCTCTGGTGGCCCTGGGAAGAGAGAGAAAGGCCCGAAGCTTTGGAGAACAGAATTAGCCTACTAATATACTAATCTGGTTCACATGGCACTCGGCTGCCTTAGAGGACGGCCACATGGCAAGGGAAGCTGCTCTTAATTCTTGTCTTGTTCAGTCTGTTTTAAACTCTCCTCATGTACCCGAGCACTTACTGTGCTATTTATATGCAAAGAAGAACTGTTTTTGTGCAACAATACAATGCAGGGAGAAGTTTTGTGTAGACTTGAGCAACATATTGGTATTATATGGATTACATGATATGAGACTAGTTATTGTCTTCGATTTTGGATATCATAATGCACATTTTTCTTCTCTTTTCTTGGTTTTAAAGAGAAAATTATGTTATGTTCTTAACTTGCCAAGGTGTTCTATCACTTGGTCATTATATCAACATGATGAACTGATGATTGTGTATTACAAATCTCATTTTTGAAACATTCTTTGAAAGTCAATCTTACAAAATTATTGCAAAATTGATACAAAGGTAAAAAAATATCATGACGTTTGATTGTTTTGCATATCACGCAGCCGTAATAAAGTGTGTTTTTTTTCTGAAACAGTATTAAACAGTATTTCTTAGCTGCTTTTCGTAGTATTTCTTTGTCTTACTCTGGTAGTATTGTTTCAAAAACTCTCAGGTGCACCAAAAGTGATTCATCTGTAGAGCGGCTCACTAGCCTGTTGTTGTTCCTCTATTTATACATACTTCCTGTTTCTACCGGACAGTGACATTAAGCGCAACAGCGATCGTCACCGAGGCTAAAAAAAAACCAGTTGCTTGTTTTTTTTGCACCAGTAAAGGTTATATTCCATTTATCTTGTTTTTTGCTAGAAACATTGAGGATTTAAGGATTTTTTTTTTTTACTTGATCTGATTTATGACCAGTTGTAGAAGAGATTCGGCAAAGCGAAGCTCAGATACAGAAGCTGCTGAACTGTGGGTTGTTGCCTTCGGAGGTCTTGAGGGTGATTTACAGGGAAACAGCTGGACTGACTGCCGGTACAGGATGTAGAGTAGATGAATGGTGGCATTGTGCATTCATGTGTGTGTCTTAATCTAGCTTCCATTCCTGTGCTGTGTTTCAAATGATCTCAAGCAAACTGTTTTTCCCATTTCATTCATGTTCATAGAAGAGATCTTACAGTATATTATATAATGTGAGTTCTCCTTGGAAGTAGCACAGCATCCACCTCCAGGGAGCCGTGTTGTAGCTCTCCTCCTCATTACTGTACCTCCATTCTATCTTTGCTCTGCACACACACACACACACACACACACACACACACACACACACACACACACACACACACACACACACACACACACACACACACACACACACACACACTTCCTCTGCATTACACCAGCTCTCAGCAGCCTCGTTAGACAGAAGGAAGTTTTATTTTTAACTCTCACACTCAAGTGCAAAAGCTGTCTGCTTATCAACATGTCTCCCTGTGCAGGCTCGCTACTAAAAAACCCTCCTGTAGTTCTTTATCCTCGGAGGTTTTGAACTATTTCTCGTGCTCTTGACTGACTTCCTCCTTTGCCTCTCTGTTCCTGCAGCGGCACAGAGACCAAGAGAGACGGCTCGCCGATCAAACAGATCACCAAGTCGACCAACAGCAGCCCAGCTCACCGCGCCTACCCGAAGAAGACGGAGGCGGACGGGCTTCAGGAGAACCACTCCTCCAAACCAGCCTCTCCTGAGGATGAACACAAACCGGCAGCCAACGGGGTGCTAGCCCAGATGGAGCAGCACAAGGACAAGGAGGACAGCCAGGAAGAGAACAGTGACAGTGTGAGGACAGACACCACGGGGCTGGTAAACGGAGACATGGGGAGCAGTGAACAGAGTGAGGGTCTCTCACCTCCACACACAGACAGGACTGTGACAGAAACTGAGAATAAGGACAGTGGGACTCAAATAGAAACCGAGCACAAGAACGAAGAAGGGGGCACCGAGCATAAGGTACGTTTACTTCACTATGCTTTATTTTTACAGCCAGGCAGAGCTGAATCTGTCAGCAGTTATTTATCTCCTGGGCTCTCAGGGCAATTAAATGTTCTGAACTCAACTCGGGGTTACTCTGATATTGTCGAGGTAGAGTTGTGTGTGTGTGTGTGTGTGTGTGTGTGTGTGTGTGTGTGTGTGTGTGTGTGTGTGTGTGTGTGTGTGTGTGTGTGTGTGTGTGTGGGTCAATCCATGTCTTCTCAGAAAAACAACAGTCTCCATGAGATAGGAGAGGAAGCACCAATCGCTACATGCTGAAAGGTTTTTCTTTGACATTTGAAAAAATGGAAACTTAATAAAACTCTAAATGAAATTCTAAAAATAGCCAGTCAGTTCCATTTGATCTATCGACTCTGGATTAAGTTTGAGTGGCTTTGTTACACTTTTTGGATTTCGAATTGTACTTATGTTTGGAGTTTACAAACAGTATAGATTCAGTACTTCCACCATGTTATTCATTCTTCTGCCTTTTGTTGATGGAAAGAGTACTCAGTATGATACAGAAATACCTGTAAAACAAATACAAATACTCTACTTTAAAAAATGTACTAATCCTAATTGAGTGATAGCACTGAAGTATAAGCAGCAAAATGTTCTTAAAATTCACAGTAAACAATTACAAATCTAAATGAATGCAGCAGATATCATGCATGCTTCTTGTTGCTGGTCAAAGCTTGGAACAATTGCCTCAAGTGAAGTCACGTGAGGCAATTGTCTCTGTTTTGTGGAGCCACAAAAAGGCTTTGAAGATGTGTACAATGTGCAAAGTAAAAATATAGGTTATGCAGTTTCACTTGTTGGTGGAACTGCTACCAGTAAGAGACATCTGAAACACAAGGGGCAGGGGGGGGAGGGGGGCTAATGCACACTGCTTCTCTATAAAAACACATGCATGTATCCATTTGTCTTAACTAAAAAATAAAAAAAAAGCCTTAACTTGAAAGAATAACTTATTAAGAATCTCTGGAAAGAATTCTCAACAACATGGATGCATTGACACATGATTAAAGTTGCATATGAGGCTGATTGAGCTCAGATAATCTAAGGGGACGATACTGCTTCCGGTTGTGGTTAAAAATATTGCGAAATATTCTGCTGCATGGTCATTGTGCTGTTAATCTGTCCAGGCATTTCATCACATCAGTATGCATGTGTGAGGTTTTAGTTACATTTTACATGTTCCTCAAACTAATTGGCCTCTCACACACAAAACTCTGTCAGACATGTTTCTGTCTTTGTACCATTTGGTGCCATTTCCCTTCTTCCATATTTTCATTTCCTGTTCTGCGAGCCCTGCAAGTTAAGGACACACACACCAGTGCTACATGCTTCTGTACGCAGCAACAGTGAGATGGGATTCAACACAAGGCTCAAATAGTAGGCGTGTCACTGAATCAATACAAGAAATGCACGATTTGGAGTGAACGTTTGTGTTATTAAAATGCAGAAAAAGCCTCTGATGACTGTCTGACTCAGCATCATGATGAGATGAGAGACCTGAACCAAACCGGAACTTGCAAATGTAAGGTTGTGAGAATGAAATCTGAGTTGAAACAATGAATGTGCTTCAGACACTTCTGCATTTTCCTCAGTAAGCTCAGGTCCATTTTATACAACCCTTTTTTCTTATAAGATTACAAGATCAATGACTCATCATAAGAGTGTCAGACTGAAACGCTCACCATGCAGAGGACACACCTCAACAGAATGATCCCACTTTCACTACTTAGTAACTCATCATTAGAAGACGTTATTTAAAACACAAATTCTCATTGATGTTCCCTCTGTTTTTAGGAGACAAATGAACAGAAGCTGTTTAAGATCGCCAGCGAGCTCCTGCACACAGAGAAGGCCTACGTAGCGCGACTGAACCTGCTGGACCAGGTGAGGGACTACTTTTTCTGCTGTAGTAAAGGTTTTTAGATTTCTCTTTTCAATTATTTGTCACTTACCTGTTATATGTGTTATGCACTCTACAGGTATTCTGTGCTAAGCTGATGGAGGAGGCGAACAAAGGAACGTTCCCTGTGGACGTGGTGAAGAACATCTTCTCCAACATCGTCTCCATCCACGCCTTCCACAGCCAGTTCCTGCTTCCAGATCTGGAGAAACGCATGGGGGAATGGTGAGCCTGTCGTTAAATCACGAGAAACACAACAGGGTCGATGTTATAAATGTACTGTAGCGCCTTTTATATTGACTCAAAAGGTCTCAAACATTAAAAACGTTTATTGTGAAGCTTCATTTTCAAGAGGATTTTTTTAATAAAGAATAACACCTTTGAATAAGTCTAATAAAATAGAACAGAATTCTACAAATTAATAAATAAATAAACTTCTAATAAATGAAATACATGGAAACATGAATAATTATCATACTTTTTCAAAATTAAAACATAAAAAAAATGGTATCAAAGGAAAATAACACCAATAATACTATAACTTTTATACTACTTTGAACTTGGCTTTGATGACTATTCATATTATTTCGATTTTAAGTTTGTCCATGAGCAGAAAGCTAATGTTTGAATGCTTGAACAATAATAAGATACTTTGCTTTGCAATAATAAGCCCATTAGGCTGTAAGCTTTGGAGCAGAGGAATAAAGCTGCTGTCATTGATGAGGATGAGATCAAACTCATGATGAACATATAAACAATAAACTGCCTCATTGCGGTCGTAACAAATGTACCTCCTTTATTTCCACCCTGCAGGGCGGCCACTCCTCGAATCGGAGACATCCTGCTGAAACTCACACCCTTCCTCAAGATGTACGCAGAGTATGTGAAGAATTTCGAGAAAGCCATGGAGCTGCTGAAAACCTGGACTGATCGCTCGCCTCAATTCAAGGGCATCATTCAGGAGATACAGGTACTGCCAGCAGAAGACACAAAAACACAGACTCATGCTAAAGAGTTTTAGCCGTGTGAAAAACACTATTGTTTTATCACAATAAATAAGTGTCAAAACTCACGTTCTTTTGGTCATTTCTGCACAGAGTCAGGAGGCGTGTGGCAGCCTGACGCTTCAGCATCACATGTTGGAGCCCGTGCAGAGAGTCCCTCGCTACGAGATGCTGCTAAAAGACTATCTGAAGAAGCTGCCTCAGGACGACTCCGACCGGCAGGATTCAGAGAGTAAGTCTAAATACTCAACATTCCCACTTCAAGGAACACATTTTAATTCACTATATTAATGTAATCGGTTTATTTTTTCCCTTAGAATCAATAGAAATAATCGCCACAGCAGCCACTCACTCGAACAGCGCTATACGAAAATCTGTAAGTACAGACATTTTAAACAACTTCTCAATTTCGTTGACATATTAATATCCCTCTAACATAAACGCCCCCTCCTAATGTAGGAGAATCTGAAGAAACTGATGGAGATATACGAGATGCTGGGGGAGGAGGAGGACATTGTAAACCCCTCAAACGAGTTCATCAAAGAGGGCCACATCTTGAAGCTGGCGGCCAGGAACACCTCGGCCATGGAGCGATACCTCTTCCTGGTGAGAGAAAGCACAAACACATCTCCTTATCTAATGAGGGGAACATGCTGAGGCGAGACTTTGTCAATTGAAACAAGTGAAGCATTTCGAGCCAGGAACCCCTCCATGTGAGAGTGCATCAGGGGCACATAGAGAAAACTCTAAATCACTGAGATCGCCAGATAATGTAATTACGTTTGGGTTTTTTCTTATTAGCTTCAGCATGAATGTCTCCCATCTGTTTAATTCATCTGTTTAATTCAGGTTGTCTGCAGTGTTGAAGACGGCCCCCTTCGGATATGAACAATGCACTGATCCAAACGTTTGTGTTTTCTGTTTCTGCCAGTTCAACAACATGCTGCTGTACTGCGTGCCTAAATTCAGTCTGGGAGGCACTAAGTACACGGTGAGGACGCGGATCGGCATCGACGGCATGAAAGTCCTGGAAACGCTCAACGAGGACTACCCTCACACCTTCCAGGTGTCCGGGAAGGAGAGGATGCTGGAGCTACAGGCCAGGTACATTAAGAGAGAAACATACATAACAGGAGAAGAGGTTATCGAAGTGTTTATGCAGATTATACGGAAAACCTGAGACGAAAATAGGAAAATCTGGTCATCAGTTTTTTAAGTCCAATCCAAAAAGTTGTATCTCCTGCAGAACAAGTGCAAAACCGTTTTGTCAGGATAATAAATATTAAATTCCTTATTTAAATGTTTTTATATCTGAAACAGGAAAAAAGGGTCCCTCTTCTCATAAACAAATAGTTTTTACACAAGGGTACACTGACATGGTGTGTTAGCAAGTTATGTCATATTATTTTTCGGTCAGTCTTTAAGCTTGGAAACATGAACGATTTGAGTCCCTTAGATCCTTATGCAGTAGTGCACTTAAGTCTCTTGTGGCCAAAATAAGTATTACAACAACACATAAACAAAACAAAAACCTTTTTGTTACTTGTTTTCAAGTCATAAAAACAGGAGAAGAGTTGTTTGGATCATTATTAAAAATGTATTTCAATCACTTTAAAACAAAATGAGACTTCTGGCTATACATATACATAATTTATCATTTGTAATTCTCATTGTGGCTATTTTTCTCCTCAGCTCAGAGCAGGACAAGGCAGGCTGGATTAAGGTACGTACAGTATACACAGAACCAATGTATTCTCTTGTTTGACTGAATGTGTTTGAAGGTAACATGTTGCTGTTCTTGTCACAGGCTTTCCAGAGGACCATTGAGATCTTCCAGCAGAAAAACGAGTCATTCAAGAATGCACTGAAAGACGAGGAGGAAGTGTCGGTCAGTGTCACATCAAAGCTGTTCACACAGAAACACCCGTCCACACCTTTCTGCGCTGTCACTCAGTATGTTTTTATTTTCTGATGCAGAACGCAGAGCTGGGGAAGCGCGCCCCTCGCTGGATCCGCGACAATGAAGTGACAATGTGTATGAAGTGTAGAGAGTCTTTCAACGCTCTGACGCGGAGGAGGCACCACTGCAGAGCCTGCGGATACGTGAGTAATCCTGATGCTGTTACGTTAGGCATTATGCAGATTGTACTGGAGGTGGATGAGAGCATCTGTAAGGGGAGTTCACAAACAGGTGAACTTACACATCCAGAACTCACTATCATCAAGATGAAGAGTTCAAACGTGACTGGTTGTGGTTTCAGGAAAATAAAAACAGCACACTCCTTTTCCTACCTGTATTACTTTTGACTAAATAACTCAGATGTTGATGACTATAGTCCGATTTGAATGAAAGACCCACTAACTTGTTTGTTTTATTTGTATTTATTATTTTTTATAGCATAGTAGAAAGGTGCTTCAGATTAGACACAACAGACACCTCTTCTACTTCTAAAAGATATCTCAACCAGAGTTCATATGTGGGTTAAAAGTCCATTCTCAGCACTTCCACATTTTTGCAATAACACCCTGCCTTTTATCATAAACGTATGGATTTTGGTGCAAAATGTCATATCTACAGTTCCAACAAATACACATTGTGACTGGTTTAAGGGGTCTTCTCTTCTGTATTCTTTTTTTCCCCTAGGTATTTTTTCAATTTTTACAGCGTCTGCACTTGCACTCTGTATTTCCACCCTTAACTGTTTTATGTAGGAATGAGCCAATAAATAAATAAAAAGATACATTTTGTAGATTAGGGTCAATACGTGGGCTTTCACAGGACGATGAAATGTTCTCCCATGTTAAAGTCACACAGTCAAAGGGCTCTCAGAAGCTGTCATTTCTTTCTGCTATCATGCCCCAAAAACACTTCAATACCTTTTTAAGGTACTTTATTTGAAAGACTAGGTATAACTTTTGTTAGAGCTTGGTGTATTCTGACATTAAGTTCTTCTTCTTTCTTGCAGGTGGTGTGCTGGAAATGTTCAGACAATAAGTGGGATCTTGAATATGACAACAACAAGACGCACAAAGTCTGCAAGGACTGCTACCGCATCCTGTCCGGAGAAGGGGTCGCAGAGGGCAAGAAGAAGGGCATCCTGGAGGTGAAGACCATATAATGATACATAAATACATTGAAGGTCACCTATTATGCAAAATCCTTTGTCTTTTATTACATTACGTGAAATGTCACTTGTTAGACGCTTTTATCCAAAGTTAAATTACAGGAGTAATTTGGGGTGAAGTGTCTTGCCCAAGGACACAGCGGAATGTTATTTTTTTACATTGTGTTATTTTTAACCAAATATCTCTGAGGGGAGTGGCTCCTTATTTTCATGTAAAGTAACAGACAGAGAATCAGCACTTTTGAAACGGGGCTGAAACAGAGGGGATTGTGGGATGCTGCAATGATCTGTTTGGTATTTCAGCCAAACACTTCAGAGACATGTTTTGTATATATCTGAGACCTATAGTATATTGATTAAAGACAATATAATGCTGGGATCATGAAAAGGATTTTGTAAATAATTCATATAGATTTAACTAACCAACTCCTTTTTTCTTCTCATTTGCAGATCGAGGCGGCTCAGTTCACAGGCAGCAGCATCATGTGTGGCTTCCTGCAGTACTGTGAGAAGACCAAAGCTTGGCAGAAAGTGTGGTGTGTCATCCCCGAGAAGGAGTCACTGGTGCTCTATCTCTACGGAGCTCCGCAGGTAACACACCAACAACATGAAGCATACATTTCATTACCCATTTCAATTTGAAATCCATCCATTCATGCATCACTCTCCTCCTCCCTCCTCAGGACGTGAAGGCCCAGTGCACCATCCCCCTGCTGGGCTACAACGTGGACGACAGCGCCCGGGCCACAGACCCCCCCGCTGTCTTCCGCCTCACCCAGTCCAAGTCCATCCACAGCTTTGCCGCTGATACCGAGGAGCTCAAGCAGCGCTGGCTGAAAGTCATCCGAGTGGCGGTGAGGGGGGAGGTGCCGGAGTGCCCTGAGACCAACGGGGGCAGCGCCAACGTGACGGACAACAACAACACACAGGAAGCCAGTATTGATAGCTCATAGAAGTGTGTTTACTACAAGCTAACTGCTGTGGAGATGCTACAGAAAGACAGGATGTGCACTGCAAGCACAAACGAACACTCTCTATGCTGTCCTCTAAAGACAACGAGATAAATCAGTGCTGGATATGCTCCCGTTTTTTCCTGGATGTGTTCACACTTCTGACTCACTGCTAGAACCGTGCTGGATTACTAAAGGATGTTTCTGGTGCAGTCAACACTAGAGCTGTCAGGATTGAGTGACTCTTCTCCAACAGGCACTATAAAAGACAGCTCAAACTCAGTCTTCGAAGACTTTCAATCCGAGTCAGCTCCTCTTGAGCCACCACAGTGGGTTTCCACAGCGCTGTACAGGAAGTGAATCAAAGCTAAAGGACGTTCCAGACGGTGCTGTGACTCAACTCTGTACCTGTACAGTATAAATGGGTTTTTTTCTTTCCTTTTCAAAAAAGGAAAAATGTGTTTTTGTGTACATAAATCAATCCCAAATGTTGTTTTGATAACATAGAAAATGTCTAAGTATAACAAAAATATTTACAGTTTTCCACTTTTTCTTTGCTTGAGAAAATGGATCCAAAACTGGGAAAATGGTCGTGTGCTTGGATAATGATGGTCCCAGCTCCCTTTCTCATCCCTCAGTGAAAAGTATTCACTTTTAACCAAAAATCTGGTGTTGTGTTTTCTATTAAGCTACAGGAGTAACCAGTCTTAAATATATGGGCAGCTGAACATAGTAAAAAAATTAATTCCTACAGTTTTATAACGTAATGACAATACGTATTGTGATACATTTGTCGTAAAAAATGTATCTAAAAAATATTTTATAGATCAAATTGACTACCCGTACAATAAGTCAGTCCTGCTCATTGGTTTGCAACATAAAGCAATTTTTGTATCACAGCTCAAGTAATGTTGGAGGACTGCAAGACAGATTGAAGCAGAGATACCCCCTAGTACAAACCAGTCCTCCATTTCCCATGATGCAACCCAATAGACTTCCATTAGGTATTACCTGATTGCTACCAATGTTTTGTCAGGTATAACAAGTCCAAAGCTTAACTCAAGATTACCCTGAGGATGTCATTCTGTCAGACGTTCACTGTAGAGACAATATACAACTGTATTCACAGCTTGAGTAGCATTATTCCTGGAAAAATGTACAAATAGGTAATGTATTTGTAAATGCAAATCACCTTTAAAATGTTTAGCTACTTTGTAAGAAACTATTTAAGCAGTTCATACATTCTACGGTCTCACATTATGTATTGTCATACTTCGCCCATCCCTAAGGCCTCGACAGTGCTCTTTGAATTCAAATGGCCCTCTGCAATCATGTGTAATTAATATGGCCCAAAACTGAGGATGTGAGAGACGGACCGGGATCATCACGTTTTTCTATAAAGATGCGAACGAGGAACAATCACAGATACAGCGAGAAATGTCAATGTCTTTTTTAATGCTGTAATTAATTTTATTATTTAAAGTAATTTATAGAGTATGAAAAGCATGATCTGTTAAAAGTAGCACAAATGTGTACCCTGACTGTCAACTAAGAAGCGCAGTAGGTAGATCGTATTTTCTTCTGAGGAGATTTTTTCGAACTAACATGAAACCTGGGTTCTTCAGTGTGACAGCGAATACCCCCGCTCAATGCAGGTGCTCACCTGAGTCTCCCCCCCCTGGACTCCCCCCTTCAGTATTCAAATAAAAAGACAAGAGCACAAGACTTCCCGTCTGTAATATCTGAATGTATATGCAGATTTGTATGCTCTCATCCCTCACCAAAAGGTTTGAGAATCGACGCACTTTACAGTCTTAGAGTGTACCTTCAAAGAAAAATGATATGATATGGGGTTCTTGCTTGTTTGTTGTAATATACAAATGTTTGAATAACTTGACTGTGTTATCATGGTAACTCAAACCACTCATTGTGATGCTACCTTAAAAAGGGCCCTTATATTTTGGGGTGGGTTTTCATTTCCTGTTGTGTTATATCAAGGTCTTTCTGCATGTTAATGCCCTCTAAGCGATTGACCAATCACAACAGAACCGGCCAGCTAACCAATCGGAGCAGACTGGGCTCTGGTTTCAGACAGAGGGTGGAAAGAGGTGCCGCAGCACAGACAGTTTCAGTAAATAAAGACCCTTTTGAACATTTAAGCATGGAGACATGTGAAGGTAGAGGCACAAAGAGCCCCTTTCAAAAAAGGAACGTCTCGTTTTGGTTCCTTGTTTTGTGTCTCCTCTCCTGATAAGAAGTGTTTCACTTTGAGTTATGCCAGACATGCACTTAAAACGAACGGGGACATCTGTCAAAGTGAGAAAGTTGAACAGGAAGTACCTTCCATTTACAGTATTCTCACCTGGGTGCATGTCAGTCCTGTTTGCCTTTTCCAGTCCAGTCCACACACAAAGGACAAGTAATTTACAGATTTAGAAAACGTTTAATTTCACAAAAGAAAAAGAGGGAGAGGAATCAGACCAAACAAATGATATCAAATATTTTTAACGAGTAAAAATGTCATAAGTGTGTTATCCTTTCTCACTTCTTTGAGAAGCGCTTGTCAAACATAATTAGGTCACGTGCTGTCACGTTACCATCCCACAATATTCCATAGAGGAGCTGCTACAGGTCAGTCAGAAGGAGCTATGTAGCCAGAAGTCCTTTGTTGTTCTCTGATGTTGTGTGGCAGAGTTTCTGAGTCCAGGTGAGACTGTGGCTCTTGGACAGTCTTTGTGTTTGCGTGTCTCCTCAGCTCTTGGGCTGTCGGAGCAGGCCGCGGACCCTGCGGACCAGGGCCTGGATGAAGGTGTAGCGGGAGCGGACCTGGCTGTACAGACCCTCCACGTCCAGCAGCTTCCTCTGCAGAGCCTCTCCGAAACCTGTGGCCATGTCGCTCTTCAGCTGAGGGGCACAAGACAGGAGAGAGAGGTTCAGGAATAATGGAGGTGGTTTTACAGACGCAGGACATGTTTCTCAGGGCAGCATTCAAAGTGTGTGTTCGCTGTTTCTTACCAGGTCCAGGTCTTGCTGGCTGACCCGAGATAGACCGAGGACGCGACCTCCGCTTCCCTGCAGCCCGCCAAAGGAATCTGAAGAACATCAATAATTACATTTGTTAGATTTAGCTTAACTGCAATCAATAGCTTCACGAGGGAAGTGTCCTAACTAGAGCACTACTAGCACAGGACTAGTATAACCAGCGCACCTTTGGGATGGAGAAATGACACCCACGGCATATTGCACAGGAAGTCTGCCATTTGACTTTTAATTTGACTTTATTCACAGGATATTAGGCAACACCTACATATTACAAATATTAAAATATTTATATTTAATTGGATAAATGTTAGATATATGATATGGTCTAATCTTATTTATAAAACAATATTGACAAGAGCTCTTGCTCTGGTACCTGTGCGAATGAGCCTTTTAAGTGTCCACAAAAGTGATTTCTTTTGAGGGCAATGTTACGCAATTTATACAAAACCTAAATTTAATTTCAGATATGGCAGATTCATACATGATTAAGATTTCTGCAACAGAAGTGACTTGAGGCTATCTGGTAATGCTGGTCCTGTGCGAAAAGGGCTAAGGTCTGCACACTGCTAGTAATCTTTTATAAAAATGTGCATATATGAATAAGTACATAAGATTGCCTCTTACCGTCTGTGAGCCGAGATCTATACAAACTGGCTCCAGGCATCGGGGAGTCCTTGGGGTCGGTGGGAGTACAGTGCAACAGGTAGTACTCCAGGTGGCGCCACAGTACAAACAAACACGTCTCGATAACATCTGTAGAGGAGGCAGGTTAAGGCATTTCACAGAAATCCATGGAGTGGCTTTTCTACAAATACACAAAGAGTCCAGGGACTGAATCTGGGCCAAAGGATACAGGAGCACAGGGCCAGCAGCTTGGCTCTGTTGTTGATCAGCTGGACCAGTCGTCTCTTGGCCAGCAGGCTCCTCTGCACTGAGGAGATCTTCTCCACGCCTCCGGGGCCCGACACCAGGCCCTGGCACAACTACAGAGAAGATGTCTGTGGTTAGAAAGTGCAGACAGTGCATGCTGGAGCCACAGATGCTCATTATTCACACCTCTTTTTACTGTAACCATTTATCCAAGTGAACCAGCTGTTCAGCAGTGTGTTGAGTGTGAGCCGTGAGTCAGTGTATTCCTCATTACCTCCTTGAGCTCGTCAGGAGGCAGCTGGTCCAGGCTCTGCAGCTTGCCCAGGCTTTGTCTGTGACTCTGGTGGAACCGGAAGAAATCCGCAGCGCTGTTCTTCAGCAGGTACATGACCAGACCCAGGCTGGGGGCCCGGGAGTACGCCATTGATGGCAGGGCGGATGAGAGATCTGTGAAACAAAATGCCACAGTTCACTTTCATACTTTGGTGTTAATAATAAAAAGGTCTCTTGTTGTAAAAGCTGAAAATGCCTGATAAGATTCTGGATTTCTAGATTCATCCATCAGCTGTCTGACACTGAAAACTTATGACAAATGGATGCGGACTGATTCACTTAATAGCAAGTAGAAGAGTCTGCCTTGTAAACAGAGTCAGACTCCCTCCACTGCTTCTTGTAATGATCACTGACCTGCGCGGCCCCCGTCCCGGCCCGCTGGCTCGCTGCCTGACGGGCTGAAGAGGCAGATGCTGAACTGAGCCTGCGCCGAGCTCTGCAGCAGCAGCGTCTGGCAGTACTCCATGATGTTAGCACACACCTGAGGACAGAGGACAGCAGGTCATCCACAACGCAGTACTGATGAATAATCATGACTAAGCATACAACAAACAACGTGTCAGTGGTTTATCTATCCCTGTCTTGCTGTTGGAATATGTGAAAGGAAAGTTGGTTACTTCTGACGATGCAAACACATTTCAAGGGAGGAAGCTCATTTATAGGCTGTTTTAATTCATACCTGTTGCATGGCCACCTCCATCTCCTCTCGCCTTTCTGCCGAGTCAGCAGGCGCAGAGATCTCGGCCTGCTTCAGTAACCTCTCCCTCTCGCTGCCTGCCAGACGGCCAAGCAGGGACAGACAGAGACGCTGAAGAAAGAAGAAACACATTACTATACAATACCTACATTTGATCGGGTATTACCAGGGATAGCCAACATAAAGAAACGTCTATACTATCCTAATAAAAACAAAAGCAGCTGTCTCACCTGGAATCTGTTGATGTGACCCTGGAACTCCATGAGAGCCGCACTGTTGACCTCACCGCCTGACTCGAGGGCCCCTGGGAGACCAAGCAGGACGTCAATAACACTGTTCATTGTCTGGTGTGTTTATTCGCACAATGGAAATAGAATAGATGGCAAAGTGAATGAAAAAAAGAGTCGATGGAGTGTTTATTATTTTACCTGGCAGAGCTGTCTTACTGATGATGCCAGTCAGCAGGGAGAGCTCCTGCAAAGCTCCCATACTGAGCTCCGGACAGCGCAACAGGGACTGAATGGTGTCAGAGTGCACTATCAGCCACTGGAGAACCTACACACACACAGAGAGAAAGTTACTTCTAAAGTTGTCCAGAATACACACATCTTTCTCACTTCAGCCCAACTAGGGTCTACAGAATCTGTACGTATGAGACAGCATTTGTATCCAAGTGGATCCTCAACAACATACAGACTTCTAGGATTTTTAGGGTTCATTTATTTAAAAAAATCCAAATAAGATAATCATTGTCTTTGTGAGCAATGGTCGTGTGCGTACCTGTGCTGCCCCCTGCTGGTGGTTCAGGGTGGTAGAGGTCAGGATCACCTGGAAGAGCCTCAAGGTCGGTAAGAGAATCTGCCGGTAGCGGTCCATGGGGCTGGGGATGAAGCCTGAGGGGTCCCTCACCACCCTGCAGAGCACCAGGGAACAGACAGACGTATGTTTTGATATACACAACTGAGGATCAGACATTATGAGAACAGAGAGAAAGAACATTAAGTTATTTAAATGCACTCGAAAAAGCAACAAAGTAAAGTGACTGTGGCTGCGAGGGAGTGCGGTCGTCTTTCAACCAGAAGGTTGTGGGTTCGATCCCAGCCCATAGTCTATATGTCTGTATGAATGGGTGTGAAGGGGTGAATGACCTGTAGTATGTCAAGCGCTTTGAGGGGTCTTAAAGACTGGATAAAGTGCTATATAAGTACAGTCCATTTACCGTTTACTTAAAATGTTCCTAAAAGAAGAATTTGCTGACTAGGGAGGGGTATCGTTAAGGTTTTAACGGTACTACTACTTTTATCGATACCGATTATCGATCCGGTCTTTTAACGGTACTCTTATCGGTTTTTTGGAGAAAAAAAAAAGGTTAACTAACTAAAGAAATTGTGAACAAAACTATCCTTGCTTTTTATTTAAATTAAATACATAATATTTCACATCAAAAGAAACAACGTTTTAACAAATCGTATTAAATAATCTGATGACAGAACTGTAAACAGAACTTTAACTAAAAAAATAACTCAGTTACCTCTAATCATTAAACCATGTTTGTATAATGTAGTTAACTCCGTGTGTTGCTGCTAGCATACATAACACCTGACGTGGAAACGTTACTCGTGGATCGGGCTACAGAGCTACTAGAAAGACAGTCAAACGGTGCATTTCTCCGTCTGAATGTGGTGCACTTTTGCTAAATGTTTAGACAAATTGCTCGTGTTACCGCCCTGACATGCTAAACTCTTATTGCGCTTTTGGTAACGAGGATTGTCCACATCGAGACGGGTAAAGTTTAACCACACCTCGGAGCGCTTTCTCTCCGCCATCTCCTCTGTGTGTGTGTGTGTGTGTGTGTGTGTGTGTGTGTGTGTGTGTGTGTGTGTGTGTGTGTGTGTGTGTGTGTGTGTGTGTGTGTGTGTGTGTGTGTGTGTGTGTGTTGCTGCGTGTAGCAGCCGCGTGTGTGTAAACTGCCCCGCCCCCTCGCACACAGACGGGAGAGAGAGATCGATAATACTAAAAATAATCATTGACGCATTTTGCAGTCTTTTTGCATGTTAGAAACGGAGTTGGCGACACTAAAACTGCAATATAATGTTTGTGTAGCAATGACACACATGACATATGTTTTACATGTCTCCAGTACCGATAAAAAGACCGCTAACGTCGGAGCTTAGCGGTACCACGGTCTTTAATAATTCAGTCTCGGGGCCCGTTTAGTACCGGGACTCGGTACCCATCCCTATTGCTGACTGACTGTTTTTACTTGGAAGAGTTTCATTGTGTTGTTTTACTGAGGAAATAGTATTTGGTACTCTCTACACTTATTTGGTGTAAATCAGTTCAAACCCAATAACAACATTTTAAACTCTTCTTTCCTTTCCACATGCATACCTGTGTGCATCGCTGTCAGGCACCATGTCAAACACCTGACACTCGATCAGCTGTGCCACCAGGCCGCAGCGCAGCAGCTCCACAGCGCCCTGACCCGTCTTAGCCACGCGGGTCAGGAGAGCCTGAGAACACACACAGAGTCATACCTTCATAAACCTGTGCTTGATATGATCTATTTGTGCTTGATATGATCCATTTGTTTGAAAACAGTGCAAACAGTATGTCTGCACATGTCCTCACCATCTTGCTCTCGTAGATGTAGAGTGGTTTGAGGAGGGGGGGCTGAGGCGTGAGCAGGGTCTGCAGGGCCACGTCGTCCTGCCTCAGGCTCTCCACCAGCGAGCGCAGGTAGCCGCTGTTGCAGACGTACACCAGCCACTGGTTCTGCCGGTCTATGGACAGGATCCGGTCCAGCACCGCCAGAGCCAACATCTGACAGGCGAAAATAAAAAGGCAGAGAGTAAGACAACAAGCCCGAGTGTAGGCAGCAAAGAAATGTGATAAATCCTGCATTTACAGCAGCAAAACAGCAAAGTGAGAGCGGATGAAAGATAATAAAAATAATTGGACTATCAAATAAAAGAGGCGAACACACATGAAATAAAATAAGGAAGCAGCATAATAAAAGTAAGTGAGTGTTAACAAAAATAAATAAATCAAAAAGTGAACTAGCTTCCAGTAAATACAGAGGTATTTCTGAGCTACTTAGAACTGGATTCATCTTATTTTAAGCCGCTCAGTAGATCTTTAATAAGCTTTAAAGTTCACTGAAGTCCAAAGTGCTGAAATGGCCGAGTGAGCATGCTTTTCTCCTGTAATGGCTCTTACCCTGCTGATTTCATGGCCGTCACAGGCGTCCCGACACACCACCTCCATCAGAGAATTGCCATAGCTCTCGATAATAGAGAGATTCTCTCTCTGCAGTTTGGAGAAACCGTCCTCGGGGGCAGTGAGACGCTCCCACATGGCCTTCCCCGCTGTAGGGATGGAGAGCAGAAAACATCTATACATTGTCCCTTTGACATAACAACAGATAAAAAGATGTATCTGTAAAAGAAACGGTCCAAACTCAATTCAGACAGCATCTATCAGACAATAAATCACTTTATGGAATAACAAGAGAACCGTATCAGACTTGAAATAAAGCTTTTGATCCCTAAATATTTTCCAGACAGTCTGTGTTAATGTTTCTGTGTTGTACCTGTCTGCAGAGTGTCTGGTTCGTCAGGTTTCTGGGCGATTTGAAGGTAGTACAGCAGGGAGCCATACAGGTGAGCACGCAGGCGCTGGTATCCTCCTCCTGAAGTGTTAAAGACAATATTATAAAATATCACCTAGCAACATATCCCACGTGACAAATGTGGATTTATGTCATCACTAACCAGTACAAAGGATGAAGTCCAGCAGCTTGCGGAGAATCAGATGCAGGGCGGAGTTGGCGATTGAGGCGAAGCCAGAGGAGACTTCTAATCCCGCCCCCTGCTGCTGCTCGGACAGGACTGATTGGCTGAGGTGAGCTGTCAGAGTGAAGACTGCCCCGGCGACAATGGGCATCAGTTCTCCTGCTGCATCCTCAGATAACACCTGGACAATTCAAAGCACCATTTCTATTTAGTTCTGTAAGATTTATCTGGTGATTGCTATGTTAGCTATTTACTTTGATTGCAATAAACATGATATCTGAATAAAATCCATGACACCCTTGAGTATGTTCCTTAAAAATCTCCCCCACAATATAATACAAATCTCCATAGCTGCACTCATCCCCCTTCTATGTGCCAAACGGCCTCACTGACCTTGTCATGCAGGTCCAGCAGCAGGTCTCTGATGATGAGCTGCCTGTCGTCAGCAGGGATGAGGTCAGCGGGGCAGGCGGTCAGCAGCGTCTCCACCAGGCTCCTCCACGACCGCAGTGCGTTTCGCTTTGCACTCAAACTCCTGCGGACGCGGTTGCGCTCCACCACCTGCTGCAGGATGGAGTTCACCTCCTAGAAGAGCACAACCACAGCATTGGTCAAAAAGGGCCATTTTAACATTTACATTTAAACCAGGCATGATGTCTTTGGGTAATCCGACCCCAACAAATGCTGCCTGATTACACAAATAATAAGTCATTCATTTGAGATGACTAACCTCCATTAACAGCGGCCTCTGTCCAATGGCTGCCATTCCCTGCAGTGCATTCACCTCTGCCACAAGCACTCTATGAAGCAACTGGGAGAAATAATAACATAATTTCACTGATTAGATGAAGATCAAACACAAAATGTTAGTTATGAAAACATGAAAATGTACGTGTTTGACCTTGAGACTCACCTTGACGTTGCACACGGTGTGTCCCTGCTCGTTGACGTGCTCGCAGTTAGAGATCACCTGCTCTATCTGAGTGCGCTCAAAGAAGTCCAGCTGCAGCAGCTCAGGCATATCCTGACTGAAGTCGATGGCGTCCAGCACGCTCAGCAACTTCCTGCGTACTGATGCATCCAACAGGGACAGGAGGAGAGTAAGAGGTCAGAATCTGATATAATATTAGAATGAAGGAATTCCCTAAGAGCCTTTAATGACAGTTTGATTACAAATCTCAAAACATTCAAGCTGGTAAAGTGTCCTTAAGTGTTGACTGCATTTCTATATAGAATGTTTAAATGTGTTCCAAAGAGCACAAACCTTTAGAAACAGTGTCGAAATGCAGGAAGCCACAGACTGATCTGGTTTCTTCTTCCATTCCTGATTCTCCATCAGCTATAAAGTAAAGTAAGGATGTTCTTATGTTCATGCATTTGGGAGCTCTGACAGGAAGCTAAAGAACTGAACTGAATTTGAAGACGGATACCTGTGCGCTGAGTGTGAGGCTGGTCGTCCAACAGCAGGCTGACGAGGCGTTGCGTGTGTGAGCGCTGGCGGTTCAGCGAGGTCACTCTCAGCTCGATGGCAGCTGTTTTCATGAGCCACGACATCTGGGACAGAGCGGCGATCTGATTACCTGAGGACAGCAGAGGGTAGAATTGATGCAATGAAAAATAAAAGACATCTTTCATTCAACAGACATCCTGCGTTCACATTTCCTGCCTCTTTGTTTCATCTTTTGTATTAATCACATCTCTGATCCCCGTTTTGATATATTTTAGTAGTCAGTAGAGAATGATCTACTCACTGGGCAGGATGAAGGGAAGGTGCTGCAGGTGAGAGAACAGGAAGTCCTGGCTGGTCCTCAGATAGCGCATGGTGGGTCCAGATGTGTCGGGGCAGGCACACAGCTGGTAGATCACCTGAGAGAGGAAAACAAAGACAGACAGGGTAAAAAAAACTAAATAAATCAGCCCACAGAAATACCATGTATACATTCACCTAACGGGTATGACACATTAGAATCAAGGTGTCTTTTTAATAGAGGATGTAGTGTACCTGGTAGCAGAGCTCAGCCAGGTGAGGGGCCTGCTGAGTGAGCACAGGTCCTGATCTCTTCTCTGTGCCTCTCTGCAGCAGACTCAGGATTGCGTGCAGGCAGCTGCGTGGACACCCCAATACACCTGTAACGCACAAATGCAAGGTCAACATTTCATCTTCACCAGAACATAAACATTGGCTATAATCCCATCCAAACTGAACAGGCCATCAGCTGGAGTCTGACCTGGGTCCTGGAGGTTGGTGGAGGACACAGGCTTCTTGACTTCATATCCCAGAAGGTACAGGGCCAGGTTTGGTGTCTTCAGATCCAAGGAGGTGATGAGCAGGTTCAGCAGATGGATCTGTGTTTCATGTCGGATTCTTGCGACCTTCTGTTGTGCGTCAGCTTCTGGAGGGTTAAGGGTAAGGAAGAAGGTGAGTTTGAGTGTGTAGCTCTCACAGTATCAAGACAGGAGGATTTAACCTAATGCAGAAGATCTTTTATTATTAAACTTCATTTTTTCAGACTCACCATCTCCGTTCTCTGTTCCCTCCTCGGCCTCTTCATTGTCGAGACACTCCACAAAGCCGGCCATTAGCTTTTCACTCACAGCCTGAGGGACAGGAACAAAAAGAGTTATCATCTTCCATCATAAACAACACTTTACAACATGAACACAGAAACACCTCCGTGAATTAGAGTAAAACCAAACAACAACAAAAACACAAAAAGAGCTTTATTCCAATTTATTTAGACAGCATAACATATTAATGTAGATATTATACAGTACAGTATCGTTACACTGGATGAATGTACCAATAGCTTTTATAGAAATCAGGCTATAGGATCTAATTTAAATAATCTAAAAATATATACAACTAGAGTAAAATAGTGTTATTACTAGGGCTGTCAAACGATTACAATTTTTAATCAGATTAATCACAGCTTAAAAATTAATTAATCATGATTAATCACCATTCGATGTCCAAAATATGCCATTTCTTTATGTATATTGTTGTGGGAATGGAAAGATAAATGAAAGAAGGCAGATATATCCATTTAACATAAAGTATTTATGTTTATTATAACATGTTTCTGTGTGTCAAAATGAAAGACAGCCCACACACCTATCAATCATCAAACCGTGGGGTCTTATTTCATTACGTGTTGATTTCTATAGGGGGGGGGTTGGGGGCAGACCGACTCTGTCGTCCGGTGATCTAACCGCCTTCTGGAAAAGCTTCACAAGTACGTCGGTACGCAAATGCGCTTTGTGACACAAGTGACGGTACGCATTTCAGATTACGCACATAACCTGCGTACCAGTTATGTGCACCCCTGTACTACAGCAAAAGTATTCTCCGTCGGGACTTCCTGCAACAACACCACGCCGTTATCTTGATTCTGATTGGCCAGAAGACATTATCAAAGATGTTCTATTGAGAAGACGATCACTACGTGACAAAAGTTTTCAAAACCGTTTCGTGTACTACTCCTACGGGCAGACCACGTTGTACAGAAATGTTTACCTCTCGCTCGAAGGTGCGCGATGCGTTCCTGAATCTGGGTAAGAGTACTTGGAGCAGTCCCACAAATACATAAAAAAATGTTTTTGGAAGGTAATGGTTTGCCTTATAAGTGTGAGTTTGAACGAACTGTGACACCCAAACTCAAACACGTGCAACACCAATGACGAAACGGAAACGTCTATCCTCTCAAAATGTCCATTCCTGGGTAAAGCGCGACCGTCTAACCCAAGAACGTTAAAACCACAGGGTGTCCTCCAGAGACGTTTTGTGTGGAAGACCGTACCCAGGATGGACCCCTACCGCGGACGTTTCCGGAGGCGGTGTTTGTCCCACTCTAGAACGGAAAAGAACCTTTTACGTGTTTTTTTCCAAAAGAGATAGTTAATATAGACTAACGAATCTAAAGTAACCGAAAGACGGCTTCTTTAGTATTAGGCTACGAGCCTGAAAGTCAATTTATGAGGGACAAGATACGAAACGAGGGGTAAAGACAGGTTCAAGAAACGGCAGTTACCCTCTGGAGGACGGGAGGTGGGATATATAGAGGCATATAGGCATACCCGGACTTTCGCTGAGCGGTTGCCCGGGAGTCACAAGTGTGAGCGGAAGTCCGGGACGAGTTGGTTGCCTCGGGTGCGTGTCATTCTCGCTAAACAAGCATTTCTTGTCCTTTGTAAGAGTCCGTTTACTTAACAGACCCCAAAACTTATTGTTGTCTGTGTCATAAAAAAAATAAAGAGAGACTTTAAACTTCGACAAATTCGTAAGTTCCACGTCAAACTGGAGACCCCATAGACTTAACTGAAATACCGTGCAACGTTACCGAAGTCTACATCCACTATACGTTGGGTCTGAGAATTTCAGATAACAGATCGAAAACAGCATTAGCATTAGGTTACTCTATGGTTTGTTAGAAGTACAAGTACATGCGTCCACTGTTGGCCAGGTCCTCCAAGGCCGGGTCGGGCGCCACAGAACCCTTTGTGAAAAAGTGAGGGACTAACGAGATGGTAACTCTTGACGCCGCCTCCTGAAAAGGTTTGGGTCTGCGTCGTGTCAAGGCTGTGGGCAGGGAGTCTCCGTTAGTGGGTACTCCTCTCGGACCTTCCCTGAGTGGAGGAAGGACGGGGTCGACGAGTGGTGGCTAGTTAGTGTACCCATACCTCGCTTGTCCGGTGAATGAAAAACATAATAAACGAACATTGATTATAAATAAACAACAAGGAAAGAAAGGAAAAGAAGAGAAGTGAATAATAGAACATTCGCGAAAACCCTCGGGACATTTTCGGCGGATTGTTTAATTTAGATAATAATAATAATAATAATTCCCCGTGATCCGGATACCGAACGAGTCCATAAATCACCTAATATTTTGAGTAATTCCTCCAGCCCGTAATTACGACCACACTACAAAAATCATCAGGAAAATGTGAGTGGAATAGAGGACCTTTCTTAGCATACAAGTCCAAATACTCTACAGGATAGAGATTCACAATAAATCCACACGAAAAACGAATCTATGTAACAGATATTACGAAGAGAAAGAGGTATCCCTCCTTTTACCGAGCGGACCGCGACCACCACCCGTAGGGGGTCCACCTGAGGCCACCACAACTACAACCCCCGACGACGGGTCACGTCGCAGGGCGACTTCCGCCCTCCAGGACGCGGACCCGGACGCGTCGAAAACCCCTTCAGATGGTCTCGTAGCGGCGGAGTGACCACCGGTCAGTGACCTTATGTGAGTCGCCAATCACGGCCCAACTTTTAATTATTATTGTTAATTGGGGGGACAACACAAGCAAATACACAAAGATGAAACCACAAGCGCCAGTTTAGAACTGTGCCAGGACAAATTGACGATAATGTAATTGTGTTTTTGGTAATTAGGAGTGGTTTAAAAGTAACTTGTGGGAAAGTTTGAATGTATAAATAGTCTGATGACCATATGTACTTTTGACTGGTCATTTATATGTCTTCTTATGCTGTGACTTGTACATCAACGACACACGGTCACACTAGGTACACCCCCCTACCCGTGTATTCCCCCCCTTTTGTGTAGATTACACAAACACACACACACACAACAAAAAAATAGACTAGACCTACCAATGATTAAGGAAAAGAAATACCACCAGTAAAAACTCGCCCTTAGTGGTACCCAAAGGTGTTTCAAATGATTTAGTAGGTTTTAAGATACTTTCAACCACTAGTCATTAAAATATATACAAGTTACTAGATGAACTCCTATAGTTTTCGGAATTACGGTTAGCTTAGATTTTGGTTTTTCAATTCTTAACTACTTTCATCACTTAGCCAGTCTAAACTGGTACTTTGTTGTCCTCCCAATTCACTACTCAAATTTGTATCAAAGACTTTCCAGTGCCCGGCAAAGAGTTACAGCTCATTGTACGACGTCTCGGTTGAATATATGATGCAGTATCTCACCGCGCTTACGACCTGTAAATTGTACGTAAATTTTTCACGAAGCCGCGGTGAGCTACTGCATCTATGACCTTTATCAACGAACGTCGTCAAAATGAGCTGAACTCCTTTGCCGCGTATGCCAAAATAAAAGTATAACCCCTATCTCGTCACTCAAAACCCGTTATAAAACCGATAATATGTCTGGTTTGTGATCTTTTGAAAGTTTACATAACAGTGGTTCAGTAAAATAGGAGTCATATGGTCATAGATAGAAAAAATAAGAGAACTGAAGTGTTTTTATCTGTATGTAAGACAATTCCGTACAAAAGCAAAAAGGTCAAACACACACATAGAAGTACAAGAGAATGGTGTCAGGAAGTCTGTCATCTGGCCTGTCCCGTCCGTCGACCTTAACTCCACTCAGAAAACACAAACGCTTCAAATCTATAAGCAATCCAGAGCGAAATGAAGCTCCTATAACGATTATTCTATATGTTTATTTATATATATTATTCTACGAAGAATGTACCTTACTAAAAAGTCGTAGTTGGTAAACTGACTACGGATAACCCGTATAAAAATTCTAGGTTTATACGTTTTATTAATCTGAACTTCGCACGTCCAATAAATTTTTTTTTTTTTCAAATGACGTATTTTCAATGTCAAGAAAAATAGAGAAGTTTCATTTTTGGAAGGAAAAATAATTTACAAGTAGGAACTTGTTCTACTTGTAATGACAACATGTTAACAACTAACAGAAACAAACTGAGAGTCCACCTTCGACTTACTCTAGCTCAGGTCGATCACTCCTCATAGGAAGACTGTGCCCCGAAGACAGTGGACTAGTCGTGTAACCACCTCTCGTCGGACGGACAATTAAATCCCGCCCCGATGCGCGTGGGCCGAAAGGTTGGTATGGCTTGAAAGAACGCACTGAGACACAAGGAGGGGAAAGGGGTGGGCTCGTATAGGCGGTAGGTCTGACTCTTTCCATTTCTCGAGTGGGTCAGAGAATTGTACACTACGTACATACGAGAAACTTGATGTGTATGAGTGAACAGAGGGGAACGACACAGAGAGTCACCCTCAACGACTGCGACACGACCTCCACAAGGTGTTCGACGACGCACTGATGCTCGGGGTCGGGAGTCTGAAACAGGTCCTCTATCACCTCGATGTCCCGCTCGTCGACGCCGGTGTTCGCGGGCCCGGTGTCGGAGTACAAGGTGGACAACTTGCTGAGCCGGGTGCGACTGCGAGGACGGAGTCGGACGACCTCCTCCCAGCCGGTCGACCTGTGGATACGGTGGGAAGGGACCACCTCTTCTTGGTATACGTGAACGACCGCTTGTTTTCCCTCAGACGAAATACACAGACACTAAGAGCACTTGACTAGATCAAGGATCGAAGGCAGAAGAAGGAGATAACGTCTTCGTCCATAGTACGGAATGCACAAAAGCGTCTATCGTCGCGCAAAGGACCAAAGCATAAACTGTTCACCGTGATACACGAGCTCTGAACCACGTGGACATGTCGTATCTGCAGACTCCGCAGTCCAACAAGAAGCGCGCCGCGAGTGACAGGTGGCCGAACTTGCTGAAGCGGGTGTCGACTGCGAGACGGAGTCGGACGACGTCATCACCGCACGCGGTCGACT